TATTTAATTCGGCTGTGAAACTGGATAATGGTGTGCCACTTTCTGATACTATCAAAAACCTATCAAATATACTCTCATAAAAACCATTAAATATTACTGCTGGAGGAGTAGGAGCATCAATGAAATTGGGAAATGGTACCAATTCTGTCACATTTTCGCCGGAAAAATTTGGACGCCATAATGACAAAAATCCCAGGCCATGCATAAGTTCGTGTGTCGTCAATAGTACAAATGCTGTCTGTTTTGGAGTAATTGGAGTTACATCGTCTTCAAACCAATATTCCTTATCGGAGTTAAACTCTGCAGTTATGTCAGAAGGTAAAAATTCCGGATGTGTTGCAAGTCCGAATTGCTTTACTAATGATTGTGGATACAGTCTGACCACTCCATCCCCACCCTTCAACCTAATTCTTCTGGTTGACCTTGCAAAACCTAAATAAATAAATGAAAATTAAAATTTTATAAAATCATAATAATAATAATTGTAATTGTAATTGTAATTATTATTAGTATTGTTACCTAATGAAGCTGGATCTTGTGATTTAAAAGCGATATCTACGGTGATAGGTTCGCTAAATTTTATAACATCAGAAATAATTTTCCCTGTAGTGTCCAAGTTTTTTGCAACTTTGTCACAAAAACCTAGTTTTTCTGGAAAATTACAAGTAATATTGAATTTAATCATTTTATCATCTCCAGCTTGATTTTTGATGGATTTTGGCTCTCCTTTAACAAATAAACAGTCAACTCTTTTTATTCCATTTTTGTCATGATCGTAACAACTAGTTATAGTTGGTTGTGCTGGTAAGGAGGAAACATTTGTAATATTCGAAAGTGTCAATAATGATAATAATAATAATAATAATAATGGTGCTGGAGAATGATTATTCATTTTGAACAAATCGTTAATTAAAAGATAAGATAAAACTTTTAAGAAGGATTTGATTGAGTGTATTTATATGCGTTAGATGTACGCATTTTATTTACATATTATCAATGTAATTTGAGAAAACCTCTCCATAATTGAAAATATTTTTGAATCACAAAAATTTTTGTGTCAATAGATGATGGATTTCTATTTTTTGAATTGAGTGTATTGTTTATATTTACATGTGTCATCGTATACACATGCGGATCAGAATATTCCATTCATTTTATTTGCATTATAAACTTTTTTTTCAAATTCAAGATTAATAAACCACGGGTAAGCCTGTTCTTATTTTCATTAAAAAAGATTGCCAATTGTAAATGTTATGAATATTATAAAAAGTAAAAACTACTATATATATACGCCACCAAATTTATCCGCATGCTTTTTACTTTGGTTAGAAAAACCTGCGGGTGTTGCATTAGCCTGCTTATTTACGTAACACATTATTTGTTTTGAAATTAGCCAATCAAAATGAGGGGTGTGCACTAGTTGTTTAATATATACAGTGAACCCTCCCTAAGTGCACCCTCCCTAAATGCACGCACTATGTATACCCTCCATAAATGCACGGCCCATCTCATCCCCAAGCTTATAGAGAGCTTATAAAATCACCCTCCATAAATGCATACCCTCCATAAATGCACGCTCGCAAGAAATAGCACTATGTTCCCGAGGGGGTGCACTTATAGAGGGTTCACTGTAGCAATAATATAATTTTACTAAATAAATAAATTTTTGAATCTGTTATAGGGAATGCAAATATATTCTAAACAAAGTTGTTTACGATAAGTGGCAAAAAATCTTCGGCCGTCAACACCTTCCTTTGAGACGTCAACCTAAAAATGACTGTGTTACGCAAATAGGAATTAAAATATGCATTGATGATGATATATTTGCTATCTTTTTTAATTTTTGTGCAACACATTTTTAGTATCAATACTAATACTATCATTCATTAATCCATTCTGCTCTAATTTTTAGTGAAATTGGTTTTTCTTTCTTTTCATCCAAGTGATGTTGCCGCTCCATTACCCAGACCAACACATAATTTTCTTCTATTTTTAAAAGCTTTTTTTTATGTTAAATATACAGATAGGTATTAGTACTAACTTTCTAAAAAAAGTCTGAATCTAATTTAACCAAAAAGAAAAAAGATGTAATACAAAAAAATGTGCATTGTTTATATACCCTTTTCACCACATTCGATTTAAAACCGGTTGCAACCAGTTTTTATTTTTCATTATACAATCAGTGTTAAATGCATCTGTCACAAAAAAAAAAAAAAAATACTAAAATGTATATATGAATGTATGTTGTGAGATTGTGTCCAAGTTCAACTATCATTTAATGTTTATAATAATAAAATAATACAATTTCTTCCAATTTATTTTATACTAAATTGTAACAACAATTTCCACGAATACAACTATCTTTCACTATCGTTAAACAATTCCTTGCTAAGCAATACTAAACAATCACACCATGTCCTGATCACGTTTTTTAGTGGGTGCTGTTACTCCCTACTCAAGTCAAGTACATTGCTAAATAAGATTTATTAAATATTACTTCATTAAAGAAAAGAAAAAAAATAATAAAAAATAATAAAAATCAGAGACAAATATAAATAAAATAAGAGAAAAATTAATTATAAAATGGAATTATTATGAATTCATTGTCAGGGATAGGCTTATTATCATCATTACGAAAATACACAATTCCAAAACAAAGAAGGACAATAACAAGGACAAGATTAAGGTTAAGGATGGTTGGTTATTTAAAGGTTCAATCTAATTTCCTAATTAAAGTATTCCGTAAAAATAAACAAACCTTTCTTTTGAATAAAATGTTACTTTCTTGATAATTCCGTGAGTTTGATAATTGTTTATTAATTATTAACACAAAGAAGAAATTTTCTATTTGCCGTATCACCATCTCCTTCCGAAATCCTCAAAGTTCATAATCTTCGTGCAGGTTTTTCGCCAATTATCTCTTTTTATGTTTAGCTGTGCCTGTTTTTTTTCGGTTTTTGGCGTGATCAACATTTTCGCCATATTTAGCCAATTTTGCGTCGTACGGCAAATGTTTTATTTCATATAATATTCTTTGCAATTGTGCATTGAATTGCAATGCCTTGAAATGCAATGCTTTGCAAATGATCAGGAAAAAATCTATGTTTTTAAACCTAATTTTTTGGGAAGGAATTTTTTGTTTTCGCTGGGTGGTAAATTTCAAAAAAATTTTTTTTTTATTTTGTTCTGAAATCGATCCACGTGATTCTTTTTCTTTGATGATCAATGTAAATGCCTTTTTTCCGCGTGATAAACATTTGTCGTGCGATAAAATCCGAAGAGAACTGTTTTGGTAAGAATGAATTTTGTTTATTTTGCATTTTTAAGAAAAAGCTGTTTAGTTTCAAGCTTCAACAATTGTTACTAAGAATGCTTTTTTTGGTGGCTTTCTTATTTTTAGTATTTAGTTAGTGTGATGAAAAATCATGCTATTTGATATTATTAATTAATTTAAGATTTACCATTTGCCGTGTCACGATCTCCTTCCAAAACTCGCAAGTCATGCGACTTCCGTGCAGTTTTCTCGCCAATTGTCTCCTTTTGTGTTTAGCCGCGCCTGGTCTTTTCGGTTTTTGGCGCGATCAACATTTTCGCCATATCTAGCAAAAAAATTGTGTCGTACGGCAAATGCTTTGTTTTATAAAACAGGTTGCAATTGCAATTGAGTTGCGTTGAATTGAATTGCAAAGCAATGCGTTGCAATTGCAATAGAAACCGAAAAATCTTTGTTTTTTAAACCTAATTTTTTGGGAAGGAATTTTTTGCTTTCGCTGGGTGGTAATTTCAGAAAAACTTTTTTTTTATTTTTCTGAAAAAAAAAATTTGATCTACATAATTTTTATTGTAAAGAAAAAAAATACAAATAGGAATGAAGAAAAAAATTTTTGATCTACGCAATTTTTAATTATTATCGTCATCATTTTCAATGTTGTACGAATTTTCTATTGCATCCGTATAACATTTATTGTTGCTGACAACTTCGTTCATTGTATGTATCAGTTTCGTTGCTCTTGATGTGCTTGATTCTTCCTGTGGGTCATGGTCTGCACTTCTTCTTTTTTTAACCGACTCCCCAATGTGACTTGTGGTCTTTCTCTTGCTGTTGGAACTCATGAATTGTTCCTCAAAATCCAGATGTTTGGATTTTAATGC